CCCGGGTTTTAGTCCCACAATTTTTTTTATCCTCATCCCCACCACTCTCTGTTGGCCTCCTCCAATTTGCACTCATAACAGACACACACTGAGACACTTGGACATTTTGTAGGTAAATATAGGCGTATTTAACCGCATTTTTTATTTACCACCCGCATATGCACATCATGAATTCATGAGAGGGATTTTTTTTCAATTTTTCCCCCCTTTTGCTGCCAAATGGAAGCTTTGTAATCATGATTTTTTTTCGATTTCTTAATTTTGGGTGGAAGCGCCTAAAAATGTCATGAAACCTGAAGAAATGTTGTTTTCAAAAAATGTCTGTAGGTGTTCACATGTGTTTTGGTATGTCCAGAACAGTCGCCATAACGCGATAATTATTGAAGCAAAGATGATGAAATTCTGGCTGCTAATTGGTACTACTGAGACTCAAATTTGTGCTAAATTTCAGCTCGATCGGTTGCGCGGTTCCTGAGATGCAGGAATTCTTCGAAAATCGTTTTTTGCCGATATCTCCTGAACCATTTGGCCGATTCGATTTTTTTTTCAAAATGCTCGTCATGATGATACCTATTCAATTGGATTGAAAAAAAAAACCATTACACCCTGAGCAATGTAGTTTCATTCTCGTTTTTTCATTTTTTCGCTGAAATTGCTTGTTCACACGATAACTTAACAAATAATCAAGATAGGAAGTTGAAACTTGATATGATTTTAGGTCTTATGATAACAAAGTTTGGGATTCTGGATGAACGAAATCGAACCAGTAGTTTCGGAGATATTCAACTTTGTATGTCAAACACTTTTGCTCAATATCTCAAAAACTATTGGTTCGATTACAATTACTTCTTTTTCAAAATGTGGGTTTTGATGTCATCTATCTAGATCCAAGAAAATATGGGTACCATCACATTGAAATTTTTCGAGATATCGTCGTTTTTGTATTTTTTGGTCGCAGAATACACTTTTGCGCACTATGACATGGGTAAAAGTCAGGGAAACCTTTTGTAACTTTGGCTTCTAGTTAGGATCGTCAAGGAACATTCCTATATCAAATTTTAGGTCGATATCTTTGATAGTTCTTGAGATGGAACAATTCACCCAAAATTCTTGAGAAAAAAAAAATAACGCATCTATATTTCTCCGTTGATTTTCACATCAGGATAACTGAGAAAGCCATATAACATGAATATATGGTTTTATTTTAAATACATTGGGATCCATTCGGAAGCCTACTACCAATAAAATTGGTAGAAAGGAAAATAGGAGAAAAAAATACGAATGGCTTTTGTCGCGCTGCTTGTTTTGTAACCACAAAAGAGGGAAAAACTTCTTACTTGTGGATGAATTCTTCGTTTTGTGTGAGATTTCGGCTAGGGTTGTGGGTCAATTAGGCTTGACGAGGATCCCTCTCTTCTAATTTCCCCTTGTGGGTTAAACATTGACCTTCATTCGATCCTAAAGGGTTGACGAGGGCCATTTTCTTTCCAGTTGACCTTGAATGGTCAAATTGTGAAGCTTGTCAGAATCTTATGGGCAATAAGGGTCAACATTATATCTTTAACGCACTTGCAGACCCTTATCTCAGCTTCGTTGTTATCAGAGACCAAAATCAAACAATTATTGCCCATTATAATCCTTATCTGAGCCTTCCGAGCAATAAAATTCAAAAGTTGACCCTTAAGAGTCAAAATTTAACCCTTGAAGGGTCAATTTCTATCTTTATCTGATCCTTAACACTAATAAGAAACAAAACTTAATCCTAAAAGCTTCTAAGAATCGACCAAACCTTCAATTGGACTCAAAATTCAATCTCGGATCATTAGAAAAATATGAGGTATTCCACGAGTCAACCGTTGACCCTCACCCTCTTGAAAATTGATCTCAAATTTTTCCAGATTTTTTCGACAGTCCAGTTTGGAGATATGATTTTTTTCTCGCTTTTCCGTTTTTTTTTCAATAACCCGAGTTCTATCCATCCGATTTTTATTTATTAAGCAGCAAAATTCTTCATTTTTTACTGCCTATAAGAGTATTTTTAGTAAATTTTTTTTTCGATCTTTAGATGCTCATAATAACAAATTTTCGAAAAAAAAAAAAGTTGAAAAACTTGAATTTTGCAAATTATATCACTTTTGAGTTGTTTCATTTTTTTCAGTAACTCTTATAATGAAAACAAGTATTTTGAGCCTTCATACGAGTTGGGGATTCTCCTGAATCTATTTTATTTTCAATTTTTTCTTTTCGAATTTCCGCAAGTTTTGTCAAAACACCTCAAAATGACGTTGATTGACTTTGATTATAGACAGTATGAAGTGAATTTGACTGTATAGGTATATATTATCAATTTTTTCGATACATAATCGAAGTCGTTTTGGGGTGTTTTGACCAAATTTCCGAAATTTCGAAAACAAACTTAAAAATAAAATAGATCCAGGAGGATGCCCAACTTGAACGACGGCTCAAAATACTTGTTTTGATTATAATAATTACTGGAAAATTGGAAAACTCATTTACTTGGAAAATTCAACTTTTTCAACTTTTTTTTTTTTAATTTGTTATTGTGAGAATCTAAGAAGCGAAGAAAAAATTAACTAAAAATATCCTTATAGGAAATAAAAAATGGAAAATTTTGACGCTTAATAAATCACTATCGGACAAATAAAACTCGAGTTATTTGAAAAAAAAAATGGAAAAATGGAAAAAAAAATCATATCTCCGAACTGGGTTGCCGAAAAAGACTGAAAAAATTTGAGAGATAGTTTTTCAATCCCCCCAATCGTAGAAAAAATCACCATTAATTTCCAAGAGGGTGAGGGTCAACGGTTGATTCATTTGGCGTGGAATACCTCATATACAAAAACCAAAAATATGCAATTACCCACTTGTTTTCAGTTTCTTTCGTTCCGTTTCATTCTGTTATATAATTAAGCCGTAAATCGAGATGTAAAAAATGGGGGAAGGCCAGTGGTATTGAAATCACGTAATGAGAGACACGTCCACTGCTCTTCGCACTCTGATTCCTCCAACCGTTGCATAATTAAAATATTTTTAATTGCAATTAGGAGATAATTAAGTGTGAAAAATTTCGCTTTTAAAATCATAATTTATTTTTCTCTGGTCGTGTATAAATCTTCCTGATTTTATTGTCATTGATCGGATAACTGGAATCCAATTGTATCAGGAGACCTCGAATTACAATGCGGAGAGCGTGTGGAGACAGGATGTGATGTCAATCCAGCACGTTTTACTACCCAATGGCTTTCCCATAAACTTCAATCTGCCCGAGTCAACGGACTATAAACCACTGGATTTATTTATTTTGCGGATTATTTGCGTCTTTGGTGTTGGAGAAAAGAGAGTGAAAAAATTTTATCTGTCGGATAATTCGGGTATTCCGAAATTTTTTTAATGAAGAAATTACTGAAATTACCGATCGTTTTTCTTCATTTCATCATTTTGTATATTTCATGAAAATTATCAAAAAATTGCATAGGGAGGGGATTTATCCCTTTTCAGCCATTTTCAACCATTGAGTGTAGTAGTCTTCCCTTAAAGAAAACATTTGGAAAAAACGAATAACTTTAATTAAATCCTCGCAATAAGTTAATAATGAAGAGAGAATTAAAACCATTGCCCTCTTTGCCATTAGTGGATTCTCCCCCGTAAATGTATACTTTTTTCCACTGGTCGAGCTTCAGAAAGTTTCACGCTTTGAAAAATCTCCTGTGGGGAATAGCATTCGGACCCCACAGTAACGATTTCGAGCGTTAAGAAGATTCCAAGAGACAGCTAGTTAAGTTTCACGACGAAGTACGAGAGAGAGAAAAAGAAAATCCATTTATTTCTCTTTTTCGTACTTTCCCCACACCAGATGCACAAAAAGGGCTTTAAAAATGCTAGTCAGATTTTGAAGGAAAAAAACTTTCAAGGGATTTGTTTCATCCCCAGCTGAGAGGTGAAACAATACGATTCCAGGAGCGAAATAAAACGAATAAAGATTAACCACTAATTGGAAAGTTGTTTGAACGAAATATTTTCCCTTCAATCCCTTCACCAAAGTTTTATTTATGGAAGAAAAGTGGATGATTTCTGAATTAAAAAAAAACGAGATAAATATCACGAAATTAATTAGTTGCGTGTCGATTATTTTTAATTGAGATAAATTAGTCAAATTTCACAACAACACGGACGAAAAAATTTAATAGAAAAACTTATCCAATTCGTTAGAAAATTCTATTGAATTTCTATTGAACTGTTCTATTAGTTTTTGGCCGATTCTGTTGAAATGTTCAATAGAAAATATTCAGTAGAAAAAGTCAAGAGAATTCAATTTTTCTATATAACTTATTCTATTGAGATATTTTCTATAGAATTTCCTCGGCTCGAATTTTCTAAATTTTTGGTTTGATTTTCTTGATGAGAAGAAAAGAAAAATAGAATGAAAAAAACTTGGAAAATTTGAGTCGGGCAAATTCTATAGAGAATATATTAAAAGAATAAATTATATAGAAAAATCGAATTCTGTTAACTTTTTCTTTTGAATGTTTTCTATTGAACATGTCAATAGAATCAGCCAAAAACTAATAGAAAGTTTAATACAAATTCAATAGAATTTTCTAACGATTCGACAGGTTTTTCTATTAAATTTTTTCATCCGTGAAACTACGAGAGAGAAAGAAAATAGTCCATTTTTCCCATACCAGATGGGCAAAAGGGGTTAAAAAATTCTAGGCAGATTTTGAAGAAAAATACTTTCAAGGGATTTGTTTCATCTCCTGCCGAGAGGTGAAAAAATCCGATTTCAGGAGCGAAGTAAAACGTATATTGAGATGAATAAAGATTAACCACTAATGGGAAAGTTGTTTGAACGAAATATTTTTCCTTCAATCCCTTCACCAAAGTTTTATTTATGGAAGTAAAATGGATGATTTTTGAATTAAAAAACAACGAGATAAATATCACGAAATTAATTATTTATGTTTCGGTTATTTTTACAGGAATTCTCTCAACTGACGAAGGAACTCTCAGCAGCCCGTGAGAATATACTCGAGCGAGAGGAAGAAATCTCGGAATTAAAAGCAGAGCGTAACAACACTCGGGTAAAGTCTGATGCATTCTTATTTCCCTTGATTCTTTTTCCGTTGTTTTATTAATTTTTTTTTCCAACTTCTGCTCTCTGGCTGTTTTGCCTCCACACCATCCTCATTCAATGTTTCATATTTAAAGTTTACGTACGACGAGACGAGACGGCTTCTTACGGTTGGCTATGAATTGTAAATTAATTATTCCGGGAGTTGAAATCGGATTTTATGAATTTTTTGGGAATTCTTGGGGTTAAGGAGATTTGGAAAATTTTGTTTACTTGTATTTGCGGTTCATTTTGGGGAAGGTATGCACAATTTAAGCATGCATGATGAAAAATCAGTAAAAACCCCAGAATAAAGAAAATCAAGAGTCAAATATTCAACACAAATCATTCTACTGTGAAGTCAATTGGTATTCCAGTGAATATCGCCATAACGATTCATTCTGCGATAAAATGCATCGGAATCTTTTTTCAAGATCATTAAATTCTCTGAAAAAAAGGTTTTCTCACATTTTCTCCTAAACTAACTCCCTCCCTAGTGAAAACCCCGTAATAAATAAGATTAACACTAAATTGAATCACCAATCCTTTTTTTAGATATTCTATTTGTTGATACGATATTATCTATTGAACAGCTTCTACTTGAACATCTGGAATGTCTGGTATCACGTCACGAAAGGTCACTGAGGATGACAGTAGTGAAGAGACAAGCTGCAGCCCAGTCGGGTGTCTCGTCCGAGGTCGAGGTCCTCAAGGCACTCAAGAGCCTCTTCGAGCATCACAAGGCCCTGGACGAAAAGGTCTGCACTTTACCCCTTCATAACAAAAGAGAAAAGGGAGAATTCACTCGCTCACTCACCGACCGAGACAACAATATCGCTGAAAAAAAAAAAATTAATTGAAAATACAATATTTTCTCTGCTAACTTTCAGGTACGAGAACGATTAAGAGTGGCGCTGGAGAAAAATACGAGTCTCGAGGAGGAACTATCACGTACCAAAGACGAGGTGAGATAAAATATCTGGGGGGAGGAACTTTCATCTGAGGGATCGATAGAATGGGAAATTGAAAACTTTTTCCACTCTCGTTTCTAATTTTTTTTTTCTGAGGCAATATAAAACTGGTGGACATACCAAGACTGAGATTTGTTAGTTGAACGTGTGAAAAATTCTGTTTAAGGCCCGGGTGGATTATCTTTCGAACGTGATCTTGATTTTTTTATAATTTTAATTATCTGACATGAACTCCAATTGCTATTCCATTTTGCATAGCCCTGGAGTCTCCAAAAATTAGAATTCTACAATTGAAGAAGCGTTGAAAAAAAGCTGAATATTCTCAAAGAGCGTTTTTGAATAACATTGGGAAATAAACCCAATAGGGAGGAAATTTCAAATTAATAATTTGATGTATTTAATGGCCGTTAGGTCGACATTTGTCACAGTAGTCAATGGCTGTCAGATCATTAGTTATCATGATAAATTATCCATTCACTATTTCCTCTCTAACGGACTTATTTCTCAATCTTTATTAAAAACGCTCTTTGAAAATCTTCAGTTTTTTTCTACTTTTTTTTACTGTACAATCATAATTTTTAGGGACTCCTGCGTGAGATAAAATCCAATGGAAATTGTGATATATTTTACATTATGAAGATGGGAAAACAGTCGAGATAACGTTCGAAAGATAATCCACCCGGGCCTTAAACTTCTTTTTATGCTTTGTAACAAGTTGATAGTCAATCAGTGGAAAGTTGGTGACGAATATTCTGGCAATTTTGAGAATATTTTGGAAACTAGTGGGCTTGAGGAAATTTTTAAAAGACGTTTTTTGTGGAGAATTTCATGGACTAATAATGTCTATTGAAATTTTCTCAATCCACTAGTTTTTGAGATATGCAAAAAATAGAATGAGGAAAATTTAATTGAGATGAAAAATAAAAATTGAGATAAAGTCAGTTATTCATCAAATTATTTTGCAAATATACATATTTCAACTACAAATTTTATAGATAAATCTCAAGGACCGTTTTTTTTTAGAGAGTGAAATTCCTTACAGAAAACATCCCTGGAAAAGTTTTTGAAAACTTCTTACACTTTTGTTTCTAATTTTTCTTTTTTTTTATTGTATCTCTGAAGCTCCAGCAATACAAAGCTGGTGGACATCCCAAGACTCTCGAGGACAGACCCAAAGAGAATGGCCAGACTGATGAGAGTCAGAGCAAGGTAAGAATTATTGATTGGGACAATGAGGGTATCATATAATTCACCTCACACACAGAACACATGAGCACAAGAGATTGATACAATTGAGTCATGACAAGTTAATGTTTTTTTTTGTTTGTCATTTTTTATTCATTTCTGTGGATGTGTGAGAGTGTTCGCAACTGCATCTGTCATTTTGCATGGTCACTATTTATATTCTCCATGAATTTTAACGAGATTTTCTAAGAGAATTGACTGAAATTAAGGGGTGAAATGGATTCTACAGTAGTTTTGAAGATTATTTTCTTGCATTTAAATTGATTGATTGATTTCTAGCAGCAAAATTCACAAAAAAAAATGTCGTTGAAAAGACGAAGGAAAAAAAAATTTTTTCTTCTCGTATACCCTTTCGGGTTTTTACGATTTGTTCCCTTCCGATCCCCTAACCTCCTGTACCGCATTCGCCGAAGGACAAGGGAAAACCTCATTCGTCTCTTGCGAGACTCCCACTCGACAATGAAACCGTGAAATTTAGAGTGTCAAAAACAAATTTTGGTCCCCCCCAGCCGGGAATCGAACCCCGGGTCTCCCGCATGCCAATCCCACACTCTAACCACACAGCCACCGCCGTCGGGGAAAAGACGAAGGAAAAAACATTTTTTTCTTCTCGTATACCCTTTCGGTTTTTTACGATTTGTTCCCTTCCGACCCCCTAACCTCCTGTACCGCATTCGCCGAAGGACAAGGGAAAACCTCATTCGTCTTTTGCGAGACTCCCACTCGACAATGAAACCGTGAAATTTAGAGTCAAAAACAAATTTTGGTCCCCCCCAGCCGGGAATCGACCCCGGGTCTCCCGCATGCCAATCCCACACTCTAACCACACAGCCACCGCCGTCGGGGAAAAGACGAAGGAATTGATTGAATAATTTTTTCAAGAGCTTTTCGATTTGTTTTTGTAAAATGGAAAGAAACCAGTGGAGTGGAAACAGGGGATAAATTTATTGTTTGATATTGACTAAAATTAAATGAAGAAGACTTTATTTTAGAAACTAGTTTTTAAGGAGAATTGAAAACGTTTGAATTTATCTCCTGTTGCCACCAATTCACTTCAAAAAAATATTTTTCAGTCGTAAAAATCAGTAGTTGCATGTTAAATGATAACATAAGATGCAAAATAATGGGGAATTGACGGGGAAAAATGAAGAAAAGACAATAAAGCTTTAATTTTGAAGAGAGAGAATGGAAAAATAGGGGGATAATGGTGGAAGGGTTATTCTCAATGTAAAATAGTATTATGATCGGGCAGAATGAAACTGAAACAGCTAGCCAGGACCAACAGGAGGTGGTACCAACGGTTATTGAGTTTAATGATGAGAGGAAAATGGAGAGTGGAAGTAGACTGAGCAACGGTGGTCTCAATACCTCTGACCACGAATCGGCTGCACGTGTTATTGACTTGCAGTCGACTGTTGAGAAACAGGTACGAATATTCACTGGGAATAATGAAAACTTCGGTTTTTTTGAAAATTGAAACAAATGATTAAATTATTTGATGGAGAAGTTATGGATATTCCTGGGGTTTTAGATGAGTGATTGAATTAATTGACAATTTAATTGATTAGTCAACGATTTACTTAGACGATTAAAAATGTTTGGAGATGGTGGACAATTATTTGGGGATGGAATTTCCCTTTTTGATGGAAAAACAATAGTTTTTACTGGGGTTTTATTATTTTCACTGCATGATTTTTTCATATTTGTAAAAACATCAAACTCTCTTGCACAAGAATTCTCACAGAATTTTTTTCCTCGACTTTCGTGAGGTTTTTTCCCTTTTTCCTTGATTTTGGGGATTAAAATTGCATTGATCGATGATGATTAGTGGTTGTATCGGTTTAGCATGTGGTGGAATGATTATAAACGTTCAATGTACAGAGTATTTTGGCATGAGATTTGTTAGTTGGACATATGAAAAATTACACTAGAATCATTAAAAAATTCAACGAAATTTTGGAGAAAAATTCTATCTGCATTTTTGTATGTTTTTATTCACGTATGAAATTTCCGAGAATTACTCGATATGAACACAATTGTTATCAACACAAAAAGAATCCTAAACTAAACAATTTGTTACTACAATAAATTAATAGTTAATTAGAAAAAGGTAATCGACTTTTCTAGAAATATTGACAATATTTTGAGAACCAGTGGGTTTGAGGAAATTTTTGAAATAGATTCGTTGTGGGGAATTACATGGACTCATGTCTGGTGACAGTGTTTGCTCAATCCACTAGTTCTTTAGATATACAAAAATGGAATGAAGAGAATTTAATTGAGATGAATTCAGTTGTTCAAATTATTCTGTAAATATCTCGTCAATCTCAAAAGACTTTTTTTCTAAAGACTTAAATTCCTCACAGAAAAAAATATTTTTACATTTTCTCCAACACCCACTCATTCCCGAGATATTTACAAAATTTAATGAAGAGATTAAAAAAATCAATTTTCATAAATTCAGTTGGCCAGATAATTTCACAAATATCTCTTCAACCACTGAATTAATGGAAAAAAATCTCGTAAGATTTTTTTTTCTAGAGAATTAAATCCCTAAGAAAACATTCCTCGATATTTCATAAACTTCCATCCCCAAAATATGTCGGAAACCATGAATGAGACCTCAACGAAATAATCAAAATAATTTCAGAGTGCGGAGTTGGCTACTTGGCAGCGTCGAGTGGGTGAGCTCGGTGGTCGTGTTGCAGAGCTCGAGGAGACCCTCTCGAAGGCGCAGAAGGACCTCATGAAGACCCAGGAGACAAACGTCAAACTCCAACGAGATCTCCGGGAGAACGTGGCCCAAAAAGAGGATCAGGAGGAACGAATAGCAACACTGGAGAAGAGATATCTGAATGCCCAGAGAGAATCCACCAGTCTCCATGATCTCAACGAAAAACTCGAGCAGGAATTGCAGCACAAAGAGGCACAGCTCAAGGTACCGCAACATCTATTTTCATTGTTAATGAAAAAAAAAAAATCATCAGCTACGAATTTTGTTATTTTTGGCTGCGTAATAATTCATTTCATGCCCATAATTGAGTGGAGGAAGAAATAAGTTGATGAAATCCTATTTATCCTATTTACTAAAGATGAAAGAAACGTGAAGTTGTTTTATATCGAAATATCTCGAAACTGCTGACCGCTAATCCTCAATTTTTAATGGTCAATGAGTCACGTGAAGTAGTCGCTGAAAAAAATCCCCAATATTTTCGAATTCTTCAAATGGCAAAATTTTTTTCTGCGTCATATTTTCCATTTTTTCATGTGTGAAGTTTATCTTTATATCAAAACATATCAAAATTGCCTAATTGTTGATCATGAGCAAAAAACATGGTATTTCTAAAAAATTTTAACACACATTATTCTTCACTTTCCAAATTTTAATTTTTTCATATTTATCATACGCACAAATCTTGCTTTTCAGATTTTCATACATAAATTCTAAACTACAAAATTCATGAAAATTCTTCGGTTTCCCAAATAATTCGAGAAAAATCTTTGAAGAGCTACGATTATCTGGGAAACTGGACTTTTCCGAAGAATTCAAATTTTTTTTTCAGATTTCGGGGAAATTAATTCACAACCCTCCCCTCATTTTTCAACAATTACAGATTTCAATCAGATTATTTTAAAAAGTAAAAAAAAGGATTGNCATGAGCAAAAAACATGGTATTTCTAAAAAATTTTAACACACATTATTCTTCACTTTCCAAATTTTAATTTTTTCATATTTATCATACGCACAAATCTTGCTTTTCAGATTTTCATACATAAATTCTAAACTACAAAATTCATGAAAATTCTTCGGTTTCCCAAATAATTCGAGAAAAATCTTTGAAGAGCTACGATTATCTGGGAAACTGGACTTTTCCGAAGAATTCAAATTTTTTTTTCAGATTTCGGGGAAATTAATTCACAACCCTCCCCTCATTTTTCAACAATTACAGATTTCAATCAGATTATTTTAAAAAGTAAAAAAAAGGATTGATCGAAAATTAAAAATTATTCATTGATGTTTCACTCTTCATTCTCTTCATTCTCTTAATTCTCTTTAAGTCATTATCAATATTTATAAAACATCTATGAGTATATGAAGTTTAATAAATTCGATTTCTTCATTTTCACAACAAAAAGATGAGTTCTGAACTTACAGTTCTAGTTTTTGTAAAAAAATCCAGAATTTAGAGAGACTCTTAAGACTCAATTAATCACCAGAAACAAAACAGATAAAATTCAAAAATAAAATTCTTTCGTATTTTTGCATCATCTTCCTCGACTCAATGAAAAATACATCATTCTCTCATCCTTTAATTATCTTTTAACCACCAAATTAAGCTGCAAGAGGAGAAGATAGCAGCTATCCAAGAGAAACTAGAGCTTGCTGAACAAAAATTGGCCCAGTATCCAAAATTACCAGAGATGGAGGAGCAGTTGAAGGCTAGGATGGAGGCACTGACCCAGGTGAGGAGGCCCAATCAGGTACGCAGGGGAATCATATCACCACATCACACCATAATGTTCCATTCTACATGTCTCCTCGATTAATTATCAATTTTATATTTTTAATGATTTAAATTCCTTCACTATTAATTCCACGATTTTATTATTTTTTTTCTTTCAACTAATATTTCCCTTAGAGTTGAATGTGGTGTGAGCCTGTGCCTGTTTTATTTTACTAATTATATCCATTAAATACTAACATTTTTATTCATACAGAACATTCATTCATCGTCATCATCACTCTTTAGTTTTTTTTTTTCATTGGTGATACAATTTTTTTTTTCAACACTGGGTTCTTCAAATAGTTTTATTTAGATTCACGTCACGAAGATCATTTTTTATCGCCTCAATTGCAGATTATCAAGACCTAGTCAGTGTTCATGAGCTGCTGGCTTGGATTTATTCGAATTATTATCACGTTTTTGATGATTTATATCATTTTTTCAGTTGATTATTGTATATATTTTTTGTCGTCATGCTTCGAAATTCTTTCGAGAGCTTACTTTCTTCACTGAAGATGATTATTTATAGGTATGCATTGCATGATTAGAATTAATAATCACTAGAAGTTGATGTGGAAATTCCAAAATGTCAAGACGCTTTTCGAAAATCGATGATATGACACAATTAAAAATTCAATCTCCACAATATCACAATTAACGAAGGAACTGAACTTTCCTGATTGGATTTTCCAATCAACATTTGCTCGTGGCTCATAATTTTTCAAACTAGATTAGGGGTTTTAATGAATTAGGGTTGATAGGAATAAAAGTAACATTAAAGTACATTTCATGAAGAACTTCAGGTGAATTTTGAATGAAAAAATATATTGAGACTTGAGGGACTTCATCATCATCATCATGACGTTCATCTCACTTGAAAGTTTATTGACTAATTATCAATGCAATTATTTAACGATGAGTGACATTCAAACAAGCAGGCACAGGAGAGACACGGTAGTGCTGAAGACAGGATTCAGAGACTGGAGGGACAACTGGAGGAGAAAAATGCTGAGGTGATGCGACTCAATCAACGTTTGAAAATGAATGAGGAGCATAACACGAGGTTGAGCAGTACTGTTGACAAACTTCTGTCAGGTAAGAGTTGTTGATTGTCTTTAAATTATTTATTGAGATGACAATGAGTACCTGTGAAGATAAAATTCGTTGATAGCATCTTCCAGTGGAAAATTTAAGAAATTTTTGCATATGAACGTTTTTTTTTGCTTCTGAATGGAAGCTTTGTAATCATGATTCTTTTCGATTTCTCAATTTTGGGTGGAAATGCCTAAAAATGTCATGAAACGTGAAGAAATGATGTTTTTAAAACATATCTGCATGTGTAATGTCTGCATGTGTTCACATGTGTGTTGGTATGTCCAGAACTGTCCCCATAACGAGAGCATTATTGAGGTAAAGATGTTGAAATTCTGGCTGCTAATTGGTACTACTGAGACTCAAATTTGTGCCAAATTTCAGCCCGATCGGTTGAGCGGTTCCTGAGATGTAGCGATTCTTCGAAAATCGTTTTTTGCCGATATCTCCTGAACCATTCGACCGATTCGATTTTTTTTTTTTTCAAAATACTCGTCATGATGATACCTATTCAATTGGCTTGGAAAAAGACCATTACACCCTGAGCAATGTAGTTTTATTCTCGTTTTTTCATTTTTTTCGCTGAAATTGCTTCTTCGCACAATAACTTGCAAAATAATCGAGATAGAAACTCGAAACTTGGTATGATTTAGGTCTTATGATAACAAAGTTTGGAATTCTGGATGAACGAAATCGGACCAGTAGTTTCGGAGATATTCAATTTTGTATGTGAAACTATTTTGCTCAATATCTCAAAAACTATTGGTCCGATTTCAATTACTTTTTTTTCAAAATGCGCGTTTTGACGTCATCTATGTAGATCCAACAAAATATGGATACCATCCCATTGAAATTTATCGAGATATCGTCGTTTTTGTATTTTTTTGGTCGGAGAATTCACTTTTGCGCACTATGACATGGGTAAAAGTCAGGGAAACCTTTTGAAACTTTGGCTTCTAGTTAGGATTGTCAAGGAACATTCCTATATCAAATTTTAGGTCGATATCTTTGATAGTTCTTGTGATGGAACAATTCACCCAAAATTCTTGAGAAAAAAAATTAACGCATCTATATTTCACCGTTCATTTTCACATCAGGATAACTGAGAAGGCCATATAACATGAATATATGAATGTAAACATGAATATATGGTTTTATGTTTTGAAAACATACATTTAGATCCATTCGAAAGCCTTCTACCAATGAAATTGGTAGAAATGAAAATAGGAGAAAAAAAAATACGTGGAGAGTAGCAGTCATATGTAATCTGTCAAATGGCTTCTGTCACGCTGCTTGTTATTAAATTTTAATTACTGATTATTAAATTTTATGCAAAAAACGTCTTTTCACTCTCATGGCTAAAAAAAATTGAGAACGTCCCTCACGTTTCCCTCCAATAATCTCCCCTCGTCTTCCAGAATCAAACGAACGCCTCCAGGTGCACCTGAAGGAGCGCATGCACGCCCTGGAGGAGAAGAATGCCCTCACCCAGGAGCTCGAGAAGACCAGGAAGATCGCCGAGGATCTTCAGAATGAGAAATCCGAGATAATGAAAGAGCTCGGTAAAGCTCGATTAGAAATTGATAACGTGAAGAGGCAGATGTTGCAGCAGGAGATAGCCTTCAACATTCAGCAGACAGACGCCCTCACCAGGAGTCTCTCTCCCAATGCAGTTGAGCCAGCCTCGTCATCAAGATCAGCTAGTCACAGTTCCTTCGACACTCATTCACTTCCCAGAAGGGGAAAACGCCTCGAGGATGATGGGACCAAGGGATACGTTGCCAGGACACTTGCTGAACAGGAGTGGGAGAAACTCCAGCAGGCACATGTCCTGGCAAATGTTCAACAGGCATTTGATGTCTCCTCTGATGCTGAGGGTGACGGTGACAATGAGAGTATTTTTTCATCAGCTGCTGATGTCATCAGTCCAAGTGGACACACTGATGCACAGACTCTAGCGTTGATGCTGCAGGAGCAGTTGGATGCCATCAACATTGAGATCCGGCTTATTCAGGAGGAGAAGCAGAGCACTGAGGCCAGGGCTGAGGAGCTCGAGAGCAGGGTTGGCAGTCTTGAGCATATGAATTTGTTGGCCAGGGGCAGGAGTCTTGAGAGGGCATCACCTCCTTTGAGTGGAAGGTCTACACCCAAAAGCCATCACAGCCCTAATAGGGATTATCTTCATAAGTATCATACGGTAAGGATGGCGGTGGGAGTGGGGGTGGGGGAGGGGAGACGATCGCTGGGGGGATTTGGACAGGAGATTTTGGGGGATTTTATTTTTTAGATTGTCATACTCGGGACAGAAGTGTTTTGTGATGGTTTCAATGTCTACCATTGGTTTGAAGGTATTTGTATAAAGCCAGGGGAGAGTGGGGCAAAATGAAACAGTCGAAAAATTACTGTTTGACACAATTCAAGCAAAAAAATGTTTTCTGTTAAATATTTTTTTTATTAATTTTTTTTATTATTGGAAGTACTGATGAGAATAATAATTTTCTATTCGCCTTGTAATTCAATTGATTAGATCAGGCCGATTGCACTTTTTTTTGCTTTATTCGATTGAAATTCCCCGTGGGCCTTCATCTGGACTTTGGAGTTCGCTGTTTCATTTTGTTTTCAATTAATCTCATTAGTACTCTCAAGAATAAAAAAAAGTTGATAAACAAAATTTAATAAAAAAATATTTAAGAAAAAAAAATTTCTTTGCTGGAATTGCGTCAAATAGTCATTTTTCAACTGTTTCATTTCGCCCATTCTCCCCTAAATGGGGAAACAAAAAACTCAGTAAAAAAATTTTCCCATAGCTTTTTAGAAATACCCAACAACAACTTGAACCAATCTCTCATAAAAAATCATCACAACTCTTGAAATGGCCCCAAAACCTTCGATATCTCCCCAGGATCTCAAAAAATCCATCAAAAAATATTTATCAGTGGATTCGTCTCCTCTCCCCAACGAATAATAAATAACAATCTTCACATCTTCGTTGTCTTCATCTCCCCTCATCTCTCCCTCCCTCGGATGATCGAAATTAATGACCTCAGTGACAAAATTTAAAATTATCAAGAGACAATTTAGACAAAAAAAAATTGGTTTAAAAAATCTCGAGACGGTTCTTTTGGATGTCCGGTGTTACAGGCACCTGCCTCAATGTCACCTGCCCATCTTCATCAGTATGCAGCTTCATTGGCAAGCCCAGGACAACTGTCCGAGTCACTCCCCGCTAGCCAGGTTCGTTCCTTCCCTGACATTTAAGAAAAAAACAAACAACAACAACCCACTGAAGAAAATTGTGCGACAGAAAGTTGAAGTTTCATTTCTGTTGATTATCGCTTTTCGCTGATTTTTTCATTTCGCTGTTTCACGTTTTTTTTCGATTTTATCCACTCAGTCTGCGCTTCCAGCGGTGTTTTCACTGCAGAGTAAAACCATTAGGTTTTAGGAGAGTTTTATGTATTGTTTTTTACTCTGGAGGAGGATCATTACTGATGAGAGCTCTCGGGTTGAATGGAATTGGGGTTGTCTTTTTGAAAAAACACTGAAGATCTTTCATGTTTTTTTGCTGTTTTTCTCCATTCAGTGGGAATTGTTCCCTGGATATCCACATTTTTCATGCTATTATCATCTTCTGTCATGTTTCGTCTCCATTCCATTCGACCAGAATTTTTTATTACAGAATAGTAATGATTTTGAGGCTTTATTTAGTGGTGAAGTGATGATTTCGGAGAAATTAATTTTTTGAAAAGATTTTATTTGGTTGATATCTCAGAATCAAGTGGATTTAGAAGAAAAATTCATAAGAATTTTTTTTGGAGCATTGAATTCTCTACGAAAAATGTTCTATGATATTTTTCAATAAATCAACTAGTTCTCTAGATATTCTCGAAGGAATGAAACAGAATTTTTTAATTAATTTCCAATTCTCCATCACTTCATAACTTATTCAGTTATTATTCTTACTATTATCATTAATTTTGCTGAAAATTATGATTCTTGCTGCTTGGATTATGCGAACACCTTCTCAATAGTCATAAACAATCAGATAAATACTGTGATGAGACGAATCGGAGATAAAACTCGATAATGAAGTGCTATAAAGTCGTAAAAATTATCAAACGTATTTTGAAAAGTTAATTTATCTCGTGAAAAAGTGATGTCACGAGAAAATGTCTCTCGACATTTTGATAAAATGTGGAATTTAATTGCATTCGAGTACCATTTCATTATCGAATTCCATAATGAATTCCATGAAAATAATGATCTCTGCCTGTGGCAGTTGCAGTTGTCCGGGGAGGAGTTACACTCGGTTAGTGAACGAGACAGTGGAGGCGGTGGTAGTGGAGGGAGTGAAGCTGCATCACCACTGACAGCAAGATCCCTGAGACTAGAGAGGGTTGTCCAGGCATTGGCACACAGCCAAGAGGAACTCAGGAGGTACTTGATGATATTATCAACTTCTGGGTCGTTAAGAGGAATTTGGAAGAAACTTTTTGGGGTTTTGGCGATACTTCAGAGGATTTAGTTGAAGACATAACAATTTGTCAAGTCTCTGAATTATTATTCAGATGAGATCGGGGCAAAATTGAACAACAGAAAAAATAACTTTAGCAGAATTCGAGATATTTTTATTTCTCAGTTGTTTTTGGTGAATATCTCGGTAAATATTGATTTCAGGGGAAAATGTGATAAAATATTTTTTATGAAGAATTCAATTTCCAATAAAAAATGTTTTTTGACATTTTGTCTTAAAACCACGCGTTATCGAGGTGATTGAGAAAAAAATCGGAAAAAAATTCTATAATTTATAGAATAACTTTAGCTAGAATTCGAGATATTGTTATTTCTCATTTGTTTTTGGTAAATATCTCGGTAAATATTGATTTCAGGGGAAAATGTGTTGAAATATTTTCTATGAAGAATTCAATTTCCAATAAAAAATATTTTTTGACATTTTCTCTTAAAACCACGCGTTATCGAGATGATTGAGAAAAAAAAATACGAAAAAAATCTATAATTTATGGACTCCTGTTTCCTCGATTTTTTCTGATATTAATGACCCCAAATTTATGTTTCTTTTATATTTCACTTGACGAGATCCTTTAATCGTCCTTCAGAAGTGAATTTCAATTAACTCACTAACTGACACTATCCCTCGTTCCTCATACTAACAGGCGCACCGGACAGAGCGGATTTCCTAGCGCCGGATACTCCACTCACAGGTTAATTAATTATTCCCATAATGCATGCAATCGTCACGCCACTGTGTTATTCAATATGCAATCAAATTAGATAACTACAACTGATTGAGACAATGACAGCAGAATTTAAGATTTATTGTAATTATCTTTATATTATTCAGAATTATTAATTTTTATGCTGAAGGATAATGTGATGTGATGCAGTGGCATGATGAGAGTTCAGAGAATATTCGTTGCCAGGCACGTGAAATTAATTTATAAACTTGTTGATAAAAATTTTGCTGTTAACTAACAAAAAAACTATTGTGCGCATATTTTTGAAAATACCTAGAGAACAAAGTGGTTTATCAGAATTTTTCATAAAACCTTTTTTGTAGAAAATTAAATTTCCAACAAAAAATATTTTATGACTTCTTCTCCTAAATCATTCATCTTCGGAGATATTTCCAAAAATAACGCAGAATTTCAAAAATGAAAAATAAAGAGACAAATTTTCAACGAAAAGTCAAGTGCAACGATTAATCTCACAGAATAAATAAAAATAATGAGCGAAATAGACGGTAGAAACATAGAGACTAGATTAGCGCTCGATGCTAGCAGGCATGGGCATCATAACAACGGCACACTGAATTCTGGAACACCACCTTCACCATTGTCTTCACGTCATAGTAGCCAGGACAGTTTGCACAAAAACAGTTTTGGAAGTGTTGGTCTACCCATTGGACAATTGTCGAGCTCTCATCTGCATATGCAATCGACAATGAGTCCTGCAACAGCAGCCGCTGTTGCTGCTGCACAGAAGAAGAAGGGAATCAAGAGCAGTCTTGGGAGATTTTTCAGCAAAAAGGAGAAAGTGAGAATCGCCTCGATTTGAATTTTTACGGCAACTGATTTTTCACTGAAATTCATTGATTCATTGATTTACTGATTTACTAATTTTTAGATCAAGGGGAAAGACACGACGATGCCTGGAGATGTCCCGGGGATGGGGGGAGCTTGCACCCCGGCTGATCCTGATTACGGTGATAACGTATCAGTTGCTGGGACATTGGGTGGAAAGAGTGATTTTGATCGAAGGAAAAAGAAGAGGTGATTGATTGATTTTTTTGGACGAACATAGTGAACGTCAGGAAATGTAGCATTCAATTTGTTTTCATGAAGGAACATAATTAATCCATCATGCAGAGAATATAATTTGACCTGTACAATCTACTCATTATATTGAAAGACTTAGGGGAGAGTGGGGTAAAATGAACCATGGGGCAAAATGAAACAGAAATGAAACATTACATATATATTTCTTAATTTTTCAGTAGAATGGAAAATTATTGAGAAGTTTTGATGGGCGAAGATTTTGTCAATGGATTATTCGATTGAAATTCAGCATCACATTTTCCATATTCCCCCTCTGAGTCTCCCCCTGGGCCTTGCTCTGGACATTGGATTTTGCTATTTCATTTTCTTTTCAACTAATCCATTGACAAAATCTTCGTCTGTCAAAACTTCTCAATAATTGTCCATTCCACTGAATGGAAAATTGTTATTTTCATAAGTACACCCTAGAATAATAAAAGTTGATAAAAAAAATTTAAGGCCCGGGTGGATCATCTTTCGAACGTGATCTTGGTTGTTTTTTTTATTTTGATAATCTGAAATGATCTCCAATTGGTATTCAGTTTTACATATCCTTGGATTCTCCAAAAATTATGATTATACAATCAAAAAAAAGTTAAAAAAAGTTGAACATTTTCAACGAGCGTTTTTGAATAATATTTGGAAATAAACCCAATAGGGAGGAAATTGCAAATTAATAATTTGATGTATCTGATGGCTGTTAGGTCGTCATTTGGCACAGTAGACAATGGCTGTTGGATCTTTAGTTACCGTGATCAATTATCCATTCACTATTTCCTCTCTATCGGACTTATTTCTCAATCTTTATTAAAAACGCTCTTTGAAAATGTTCATTTTTTTTTCTACATTTTTGATTGTACAACCATAATTTTTAGGGACTCCTGCGCGATGTAAAATCCAATGGAAATTGTGATATATTTTACATTATGAAGATGGAAAAACAATCGAGTTTCAGTACATGTGGGGCAATATCGTCTTTAACGTGTGTGGGGTTTACAGCATGAGCCGAAGGCGAGTGATGTAACCACACACGTTAAGGACGAAATTTCCCAACAAGTACTGAACAAAATTTTATGTCACGAAGCCTGAAACCGGCTGAATTAGACACGAGACGCGAAGCGTCGAGTGTGTAATCCATCCGGTTTCAGGCACGAGTGGCATAAAAATTTTTTTTCGCTTGAATTGCGTCAAACATTCGTTTTTTTGACTGTTTCATTTTGCCCCATTCTCCCCTCAATGATATTCAATCATCTCAATAAACTCAAATTATCCTAATTAATCAATCAAAAATCCTGCATAATCATACAGAAACATGCAAATCACGGTGCACAGTCTTCTTGATAAATTAATCCACCATAAGCCCCGAATTAAACCTCTCTGTCCCCCCCTCAGCATGCTGGACTCATCTCGTCACGAGCTGCTAGGTGAAGCCATGAAAGCAGGAACACCATTCGCCCTGTGGAACGGCCCCACGATAGTCGCCTGGCTGGAGCTCTGGGTGGGAATGCCAGCCTGGTACGTGGCAGCCTGTCGTGCCAATGTCAAAAGTGGTGCCATAATGTCAGCCCTGAGTGACACCGAGATACAACGAGAAATAGGCATCAGCAATCCACTCCACAGACTCAAGCTGAGACTCGCCATTCAGGAGATGGTCTCCCTGACGTCCCCATCAGCACCAAAAACATCTAGAACAACTCTTGCTTTTGGGGATATGAATCACGAGTGGATTGGCAATGTCTGGCTGCCAAGTCTAGGTCTGCCTCAGTACAGATCTACATTTATGGAGTGCCTTGTTGATGCACGAATGCTCGATCATCTCACCAAGAAGGATCTCAGGGGACAACTGAGGATGGTAGACAGCTTCCACAGGACAAGTCTGCAGTATGGAATATCTTGTCTGAAGAGACTCAATTTTGACAGACAACAGCTCGAGGACAGGAGGAGAATGGCTGAGGGGGCCAATGTTGATGTCATCGTGTGGAGCAATGACAGGGTCATCAGATGGGTGCAGTCTATCGGCCTCAAGGTAATTTCAGATCCATGCCGAATTGAAATTATTGATTGCTAAAGACAATAGATTTTTGAACAAATTCAAATTATTATTAATAAATTATTAAGCCCCTCCCCCCCATCTCACATTTTGCGACCGATTCCGAAGCTTCTCGGGTGGAGGGTAAAAGTCACAAAAAAAGTTATTAGCTGTGCAGGACGGGCTTTAAGAACGAAATTTTAATGAATGTCGATGGATAGGGCTCAAACTAATTTTATAAACTAATTTTTCCAGGAATATGGGAACAACCTCTTGGAGTCTGGAGTCCACGGAGCCCTCGTGGCCCTTGACGAGAGTTTCGATGCCAACGCATTCGCCCTGACCCTTCAGATACCAACGCAAAATGTTCAGGTGCCCCTCATTTCTAAAAAATTGACCCTCAAATGTGTTCCAATCGTCAAACCTCATCTTTTAAATTCTCCAATTCCAGGCAAGACAAGTCCTCGAGATGGAGTTTCAGAATCTTCTAACAGTGGGTACTGAGAGGCGATCAGAAGAGAACAGTATGAAGTCCTGATCAAACCCACCACCTAGGCCATTACCACGTCATCAGCCCCATCACGTCTAGTCCAATAATCCCAACAACATCCTAACCCATTCCAAGATAAAACCGTGAGTAAGAGAGAGCTTTAATCCCTTTAAAATATCCTTTGAAATCATTCCAATCACAATTTTATTCATTATTCCTGTGAATAATATCCAATGAACTTCACTGATTCATCATAAATCAATGAATAATCGTTGATGATTTATGATTAATAATTATCAGTAATTAATAATAATTAATGATAATTAAAAGACGATTAGAAATCTAAATGTGAAATTGAATCGAAGTAATATCAACTGAAGTTCATAAATGATTTCCAAAGTGACAATAATTCTGTCTGACTCGATCCCCAACAACAACTGTTGTTTAAATTTTCATTTTTACTGTCATATTGTACTTATGACATGACATAAAGTCACATCACAACTGCACAAAAATTTAGTGGATGGATAAACGGCATCTTCAGCATTTTTTTTTATACCCAATCGTCTGATGTGGAATAGGTAATGAATTTTGTTATTAATAATGAGGAATTTTTCGAGATTAATGGGTGATGATTTATTCATTAAGACCTGATGATTAAGTTTAAGGTTAATGTTTTGGGGATTTTGTTGTAAATGAGAGGATTTATGGGGGATTTTAAGTATTGAATATTAATTGCATTGAAGGGACTAAGTGAATATGATTTTCAAAGGCTTGAGGTGAATTTTTAGTCGTAATGTGTATCCTCTAATGATTAATTAACGTTGGGGGAGCTTCAAAGAATGACTTAAATTATTCGAATCAACTAGTGTGGATTTTATACCTTGATGATTACATGATGAGGAGTTATTATTAATTATTTGTGAGTGGGGTATGTGTGGTAGAATTTTCGAGGGATATTTATTCGTGTGTGAATTTTTTAGGCTCGACTGTCGATCGATCGATGATTCTATTTGGGCTTTTCTTGGGGCTTCGGGAGTTTATTCAATTTAATGGAGAATTTCTTGGGAGTATTTTGGAAACTAGTCGGTTTAGGAGAAAATTTCGTGGAAGATTCTTTCTGGCAAATTTAATTCTCTGCAAAAATGTCCTCAGACATTTTCTCCTAAGCCTGTTCGCCTTCAAGATATTCCTGAATTTATAATCAGTTCCCAATTAAAAAGATGAGTTTTCCTTCTCTTTCAAATTTTTCCAGAATTTTAGTTTTGATTATGAGAATAAAGTAGAGATTTTGGGGTTGAAAATTTCTGTTATTAATAAGACAATCATTCATCCCTCATTATAGACAGCAATGCAATAAAAATAATTGATTCTTTGATTAACTGAATTGATATCTAGATATTTTCTAATGAAATTAACAGGAATAATTCAATTGAATACAGAGAATTGGATAAATATCTCGAGAATTATCAGGTTGTCTCCAGATATTTTCTCCTAAATCTCTCCTTCCCCAAGATATCTCCAAATCTATAATGACTTCCCAATTAAAAGCACTAGTTTTCCTTCTTTTCTTATTTTTCCAGAATTTTAGTTTTGCTTATGAGAATCAAATTGAGGTTCTGGGGTTGAAAAATTATTCCGCCGATAGGACAATCATTCACTCCTCATCACATACATCAATAAAATGTAATCACTCAAGCAATTCAATTAATATCTTGAGAATAGCTAAACAATCCGCTAGTTTCTCACGAAGAAAAATATTCAAAGCCTCCCAGAAGCTTCGGAAATCCCCCCCCCCTCTTAAAATCGATTAATTAACTAATTAATCCCAATGAATTTGTAAATATTACCGCCCAGGAATTCAGTATTACTCAAGGTTTTCCCTTAATTTTCCCCAGTTTCTATTTTCCCATCATTTCACACAAACTACTTAGAATAATGAACAGGTGCCATTGATTTAATTTTAATCGCTAATTACCTAAAACCTTATGAATCAAAACAAGCCTAAAAACTAGATAATTCCTCGTATAATTATTTACTTTGACATTTATAATAATTTAACTTCATTCATGTAGACTAAACAATTAATTTAATTAACAAAATTTCGATTACTCGGAGTGAACTATTTGTAAATATCATAAATACAATGAAATTATTAATAATTAATAATTATCATAAATTTTATCGTTTGATTTTTTCTCCTCGTCCGAAAGAGTTTCAATTTTGTCGTCTAAAACTCATCAATCTCCAATAAATAATGATAATTCATAGTGATGAATATGTTTCGTTCAAATTTTGATTGATTAATTAATTGACAAGACTGCATAATCAATAATAAACTGAGAAAAATTAAATTGAAATGATTAATTAACAATTTGTTGTTGATTAATTTTTATCTGGAGGATGATTAAACGCACAATTTATCGAGTCACTTGTGGATCTCGATCGATCGATGGTCCAAAGCGTATGTAATAAATTAAGAAATCAACAGAATATAAATAAATTAAATTGATAAAATGAAACTGAAAATTTTAGGAGAACGAAAAAGAGAATCATGTGTGTATGTGTGTGGATTCGAGATGGAGAATCAGAGGAGTGATAATTAATTGAACTCGACGTGAGATATTGATGTAGGAAGGCACGAAAAAATTGTAATTTACCGATTAATATGATGATTAGGAGGTGAGAATTTCAATTTGTGACAACGATTGAAGAGAGATGATGAGGGATTATGATTACGAGATGCTTAAGTCCCCAAATTTTGCATTTGAATGACGAGATGAGAGATTATTTCTCTTTTCCTGTAGTTTTCGAAGATTTCGGAATCTAGAGGAGATAGGGGGAAGTTTTGCAGACGATAATGAGGGATATAACGAAGGTTTTTATTAAACTTTGGCTATTTCTCTTAGAATTTGAGATATTTGGGGAAGACCGGGGCAAAACAGTTGGAAAAACGACTATTGGGTGTAATTGAGAAAACTTTTCGTTTCGTTTTTAGGTGAGGGTCAAACGATCTTTGAAGACGTGGAGAGTTGAAAGTCAAATGGCCCTTAATCCTAAACGTTTTTAAGGGTTGGTTGACCCCCAAAATCATTGGACCGTGAATTCCAAATGTTCTCATGGGTCATTTGACCCTCAAAACATTGTTGAGGGCCATTTGACTCTCAAAACCATTTGAGCCTCAACCAAAATCAAAAAAAAAATTTCTAAATCGTATTAAACAGTCAGTTCTCCTGATGTTTCATTTTGCCCTGCTCTCCCCAACAAAATTTTCCCCCTAGTCAGAAAGAGTTAACCATAAATCTCGCAAATAAAATAATGCAGATAATAGAATGATGAACGCCGATGTTGTTAATGTTGTTGATACATGAGGAATCATTGTTGTTGATGTTTTTTTCCCTGCCAAGTATTTTCCCCCCGTGCAAGCTATCACCACTCATAGTAGCTGTATAATTAATTATATCGAAGGAAGATGAAAATTAATTAAAAATTGATAGGAATGACCTTCCGAAGGGGCGTGAACTTAACCAAATACATTTTATTAATTATCAATACCAAAGAATCTAAATGATGTGTCAATCGACAGCTGAAATTAATCAATCAATCAATCATACTGATGAATAATTGACTGATTGATTAATTTGAAAATTTATTTCTGTAATTATTCCCCTTCATTTTATCTTTTCTGCACAAAATAAAAATATGAACATATCGAGTTTATTAAGTTGAGGCACAATTAGTTGAATAACTATTGATTTCTAAATTTTACGTAATAACATTTAATTAATTAGTAATGAAAACATAAGAGGGTCCACTGAATCATTCGGAAGTGTCATAAAACTGTAAATGACTGAAACTTATTTTTAATCATAACGTGCTAGTTGATAGATGATAAGTACATTCCAGGAAATTAATGAAATTAATTGATTAAGGGAAGAAAATAATCATGAAGGAAAAGGATTGATGAAAAATATGAGATGAGCCTTTGATCGAGGAAAAGTACGTGAGAATACGAGAGAAATAAGCGATTAAGCATTGAAAAAAAAATGAAATGAATTTGTAATCCACGTGTGAGTGAGTGTGTGATGCAGTTTATGAACAATTGAATGAACAAAATTAATAAATGGGAGGAGATAAATCGACAATGTAGCAAGCTTCGAATGCCTTCTATGTATCTAACTGTAAATACACTCTGAACGCGCCCTAAATAATGAAGAAAAATCAAGTGAATGTTTTTTTATAATTTTTTTTTTCAGTGAATTTTTATGAAAAAATTGACGAATGGTTTAATATTTTAGTCGTTATTTTTTTATGGATTGGGGGGGGGGGTGAGTTTGGGTGGATGATGAGTGAATGTTAAAATCATCGCTGATTTTTTTTTATGTGTTATGGAAGAGGCTGAAGGGGTGGAACGAGATTGGGTGAATTTCGATTTTTATTTTTGAGAGTATCTCGGAAAATAAGCGAGATGGCAGAATTATTATTGATACCTTTTTTGGGGGGAATTTCAAGGGCTACAAAACCGGTCTAGTGATTATTTCGCTGTCTCCTTTGCATACCGAGATATTTTGAAAAAACTGATATCGAAGTCTGAATTTCAATAAAACAAGATTACATGAATCTCATTCTTCCTCTTTATTGACGAAAAATGACATTTTTGGAATAACGAGAGCTAAAAACATCACGAGATAATTATAATTTCATTATTCCACTCGAAATCATTGAATCAATAAACAATTGTAAACGTTTCATGGAGTAGCGAAAAGAAAGAATAACTCGAGAGAGTTTATAGAAAACTTGTCACATCTGCCAACATATATTCGTGCTTGGATACTTGAAGTATATAAGTATAATGAAAAAGAAAGAAAATATATACTGGAATGAACAAGAATTGAATTTCCATGAATTTCCATTTCTCTGTCGATATTTTTTCAGTCTGTGGAGGTCGAGTTGATTGAAGTGACTTCAGTCCTCATGAGGAGTTTTTTCATGTCAAATTTTCTACGTTTGGAGATCTCCTGGTCTTGCTGGGATATTTTTGTGGAGTTGTGGATCTCCTCGAGTCTCTTTTCGGATATTCGGGTGAGTCTTCGGTGGAGCTCGGAGTTGGGGATGATGAGGCGAGAGAAGGTGCGCCGGTGGAGCTGGAGGAGCTCGCAGGTCTCGATGGCGATTACGGAGACTTCCCTGGGGTAGTTCCGGTGGAGGAGGGAGAGCTCGCCAAAGTGGTTGCCATCTACCAGGTGATCTAACTGGATTTGCAGGGGGCAGAGGAGTAAAGTCAGTTGGGGGAGGTTTTTATGGGGGGCAGAAGGGTCAAATGAGCAGACACCGGCATAATCATAAATTTTAATTATAGTTACATTTTGAATTAACTCAATTGTTAATAATACTCACCAATTTTTTAGTTATTAAATTAATCGTCAATTAAATATTCAAATTCCAAATCAGTAGCGAAGCGGTAAACCGAGTTAAGTCGTTTTTTACTTTTGGCTAGTTTTTGACGAATATCTCGGAATCTAAAAGAGATAGAAAGATTTTTGTCATGACCTTTTTTGTAGAGCCAATAGAGCGTAATAAAAAAAGTCATGAGAAAAATTTTGCTATCTCTCTTAGATTCCGAGATATTCAGCAAAAACTGGCTAATAGTCAAAATCGACTTAACTCGGTTTACCGCTTCACTACTGAAATCATTTCGTCAATCAATAATTGAACTCGGAAGATTGACGATTATTTGGCTAATCGAGAAATACTTTTATGACATTTTGAAATATTTACTCAATAGTCAGTTGACAAATTCAGTAGCGAATCGGTAAACCGGGTTAAATTGATTTTGACTATTGCCCAATTTTTGACGAATATCTCGGAATCTAAAAGAGATGGAAAAATTTTTGTCATGACCTTTTTTATAACCCTCAATTGACCCTATAAAAAAGGTCATGACAAAAATTTTGCTATCTCTTTCAGATTCCGAAATATTCATCAAAGACTGACCAACAGTCAAAATCGACTTGACGCGGTTTACCGCCTCCAGACTGAATTCAAGGCCCGGGTGGATTATCTTTCGAACGTTATCTCGATTGTTTTTCCCTCTTCATAATGTAATATATATCACAACATCCATTGGTTTTTACATCACGCAGGAGTCCCTAAAAATTGTGACTGTACAATCAAAAAAGTAGAAAAAAAACTGAACATTTTCAAAGAGCGTTTTTAATAAAGATTAAGAAATAAGTCCGATAGAGCGAAAATAGCGAATGGATAATTTATCATGATAACTAACAATCTGACAGCCATTGACTACTGTGACAAATGACGACCCAACAGCCATTAGATACATGAAATTATTGATTTGCAATAATTCGAAAATGCTCTGTGAAAATGTTCAGCTTTTTTTCAATTTTTTTTGCTTGTACAATCATAATGTTTGGAGACTCCAGGGCTATGTAAAACTGAATAGCAATTGGAGATCATTTCAGATTATCAAAATAAGAGAAACAACCAAGATCACGTTCGGAAGATAATCCACCCGAGTCTTAAATTACCAGTTATTATATGATTTTAGAAAAATCTAAAAGAGGATGAGTAAATCTTAATTATTATAAGCTTCAACTTCTCGTAATATTACTAAATTAATGATTGATGCCGATCTATGCAAATGAGACAAGTAAATGTCACCTGACCCTTCAAATATAATGAGTAGAATATACAGTTCGAATCGTATTCTCTGCATGATGGAACAATTACATTCCTTCATGAAATTACCACCATGTTATAATAATAATTTACTTCTTTTCCCATGGAGTTTATTAGAGCTACAGTTCCACTCGATATAAAGTACATGCAGTCCCCCTTATCACCGCACTTGTAAATCACATCATTCTCAAGGTAAATGGTCGGTGTCATCGAGTCTGAAAATTAAAAATCCCCGTATCATCCAATCACTCCATTCACTCGAATCGCTTCGCAGAAACTATCCAATGAATTTACTCAATAGATTCGCCAGAAGTGTTCTAGGTAAATTATGAAGGACTGTGGCTGTCTCCAAGAGTCCCCTGTTCGACCTGACATTGATCTCGAGCCTCAGATGATTCGATAAAGTACTAGCTATTGCATTCTCCTTGAAGTAACTCCCCTGGTATCTGTACTCGTAGTATTTAATCAATCTATCGCCGAGATTTTTCGATAAATTTTTATCCTCTATGTATTCTTTAACTCGGCTCATTATCGCTTGGTACTTGAGCTCAGGCTCGGCGGATGATTCAATCAGTTGCAGGAAGACAACTGTATGCAGAGAAACGAGTGGGGAAATTCCTGTCGTCACAGGATAGTCAATATATTTTTGCTAATAAATTAGTAATTTGCTTCCACCGACGGCGATGGCTGTGTGGTTACATTGAGAGAAGAACGATAAAGTTCCCAAACAAGTCGTACTTGTGCCAGAGAATAGTTTTTTGAAAATTATTATAAAAGGATTTTTTTGTGCCAAACATGCAGAGAGTGCGCTGGAGTTATTTGTTATTTGTTATTACAACTCCTTCGCTATTCGATACTCCCATACGTATTTTGCTCCCGAAAAATCTGTTTTATGCGAAACAAGGGATAGTAATTTTTCGTTTCGGCTGTCTAATAATCACAGACAAGAAATGAACACCTAAGGCCCGGGTGTTCTATCTTTCGAACATTATTTTACATGAATGGCGCAAATTTTTATATTAAACAAAAAGAAATTAGCTGTGGAGGAGTCGAATTTCAAAAAAAATTATTCATAATTGTTATTGCATATGATTTTTTAACGCTCTAATTCAGTAACGAAGCGGCAAACCGGGTTAAGTCGACTTTGACTATTGACCAGTTTTTGGCGAATATCTCGGAATCTAAAGAAGATAGAAAAATTTTTGTCATTACCTTTTTTGTAGAGCCACTTGAGGGTTATAAAAAAGGTTATGAGAAAAATGTTGTTATCTCTCTTAGATTCCGAGATATTCAGCAAAAACTGGCCAAAAGTCAAAATCGACTTGATTGACCCGTTTTACTGCTTCGCACCTGGTCAAGGGTTTTCTCTCAAGTGAGGTTTTTTTTGGCCCTCGCCGAATGCGGTACAAGAGGTTGGGGGGTTTTAAGGGAACAAATCATAAAAACCCGAGTATGCGAAAGAACAAATTTTTTTTTAGTAAATTGCATTCGAATGGACTTAGTAGTTTTACCAATGAGATAAATTAGATATCCAGTCCCCAACAGCAGCAGAATGCACCTGATGACCTTGTCACTCATAGAAGTGTCCATCAACTCCATAAAATTCGATCCCACGATATTACTCAGTCCCATGTGCAAGCTGAACAGGTAAATGTACCAAGCGTTCTCTTTGTAAATTCCACTTTTGATGACATGAGCATCAGAATGTTCGATCTTCTCTCTCGTGGCGTACAGAGTGACGAAGGGGAATCCCCAGGTGAGGCAGGCGCTCCAGTGGAGTATGAAAACACTCAGTAGTGACAACCAAACCGTTAGGTCAGTGACCGAACTGTAGCCGCGTGCAGTGATAAGTTGTTTGACGTAATGTCTCAATGTCGATATCCGGAATATCTTGAGGAGGGGAATTAGTTCTGCTATGAATTGCAGGAAATTGACTTCGGGGCCGGGGGGCTCGAGGTGGGTGGAGGTGAACCAAGTGTAGGGTATCGATGTTATCAGGTCGAGGAGGAAAAATCCACCTGTGTAATGCCTGGAAAAATTCAGGGAATGCCTTTTTATTTTTTTATATATATTTTTTAAACCTTTTCCCATGTAGCCAATTAGACTCTTTATCCCACCCCTCGTGACTCTTGTGACTCTTTAGGTTCTTTAGGCCAATTAGGCTCTTTATAGTCCCATCCCACCCATTGATTAATTAATTAATTAATTAATTAATTAATTACAATTAAATTTTTGAGTTCAGTAAGGTGCGATGTAACTCGCCGAATCATGAGTGCCACATTTGGAGAAATTAATAAATTCTTTCACTCGTCCTGGTCAGTTGACGCGGAACATTCAAAGGACAATTGAACCATTACAAATTCACGTACTGTTTTTTACCCTCGAAATCTCTCAAAGGTTACTATTTGACCCTACACTGAGAGAAAAATATTCTTCTGACTATATTCCATCACCATCGAATTATAGTCAAAAAGTCCTCAACAATTTTTCATGGGTTACGGTAACTATGGCCGGAGAAGTAATTACTACAATGGAATGTAGTCATTGCAACTATTTTATAATTCCACTCACGATAGATTCGTAGTGGTTACTTTTGAACTTTGGTTATTTCAACTGCATTTTGATTTGCAAAAATTACGCTTGTGAAGTTACTATAATGTTATGTGCCGCATACAAAAAAAATCGTATCGTTCACCAAAACTGCCTCAACTATTTTCTTAATGTAAATCGAACTTCGGATTTTTCTCTCAGTGTAAAAACCATTGGACCCTTCCGAAAAATGAATGAATATGAATTATTCATCACCTGGCTATCATCCTTGGCTCCAATTCGATCTCCATGGCCTCCTCATCCCGAAAACCGGTCAAAAAGCTCATGAAAATGTCTGCAAGACACACCCCAAACACCGGATTGACAAATTTAGAAGTCTCGAAAGTCTCTCGTCCACAAATTCTGGAGAAACTTTTGACATAGGGTATCGTTATGAAGTAATAAACGAAGGTGAGGGCCATCAAATGATCCCAGAGGAGTCTGAGGCGGCTGAAGGGATGAACGACCCACCAGTTCCTCGACCTCCCGTGCCTCCTCTTCTCCGCGGAAATCGCCGCACGACTCCGCAGATACGTCGAGTAGGGATGATGCTCAGAGATGATTATGAGTTTTTGGAAGGATCTCTTGAGACGAGGGATCAGTCTGGCGTTCGGGGGGAGCCTCGGGAGGGTGCTTCCGGAGGTTTTCGAGAGCTGACAGTGATGCTGAAAGGCTTTTGATGACCTTTTTAATGACGAGCCTCGAACATGATCGGAACTGCTGCCTGACCATGACAATCTCCTCATATTGGTGAGGATGTAGGGGAGGGTAGGGTAAAATGGACACTTTTGACTTTTTCAAAAATATTCATAACTCAGAAACAGATTTATCAATTGAGCTCAGTCTAAGCTCATCACAAAGAGGAATCATTATTTTTCAATTGAAAAATAAAATTATTCCATTTCATGAACAATTCAACACGTCATAAATATTTCAAAAAAAGTCAAAAGTGTCCGTTTTACCCTACCCTCCCCTACCAATCAACTACATTTTTTAATTTTTATAAATCATTAGTATGACTACAACCCCCGAGGTTATTCCACTCTTAATTAGAGCAATTACCACGGCACACAAAAAAATAATGAACTAAACTGAAACTTCATGAAACTGGATGAAATGAGAGAAAGGTGATCTGAAGATGATGAATCATTTTAAGAAATGTTTGAAAATACGAGGTGGAGGCGCCGCCATTTTTGAAGGCCCTGGCGGCACAGGGAGGGGGTATCCAAGCAAGATGGCAGCGCCCACACCTGTTAACCACTTCGTATTTTTGACCATCTCTAAAAAATATTCATCTTCTTCAGATCACCTTCAACTCGTTTCATCCAGTTCCTAAAAAATGAACAAATTAGTACAGCTATCTTTCAAATTTTTCCATCACCTTTTGCCTAAGATTTCATGGCGCAATATTTTCCCCGTATTTCAATTGTTTTTTGCCCTCGAGACCTCTTGATGTCTAGAAAGATACCTTCAAAATGAACAAAAAAAATTCATTTTTCTCTGACAATATAGAGTTGTTGACGTTAACAAAATTTTAGGGTTTATCGACTGGTAATTCGGTGCTGAAATGAGGATTGAATGGGTTAATCAAGATAAAACGGATAATTGTCTTCAATGTACCTTATTATATTTCTCTATATCCTCCTCATCAAATTCTTTATATTAATAAATAATAAAAATGCCATAGAATAACGGTATCCACTCGCTGGATAAAATTGCTCCTCGAATCACATGAGTTTATTACTCTTAATTATTTAACAAGGCCACGTAATTGAGTTCCTACGTCAATAAACTGAGGAATTCATAAAACAAATGAACAGTAGCACGTTATAGTTGATATTGATGTATATCACGGTTGTAGGGAACTCAGCAGTCGTTTATTTCATAATTTTAATGCAGAAAAACGCTAGAGACATCAGGAAACAGGATTAAATTATAATTCAGTTGTGAAGTGGGAGATAATAGTTTTTAATGAATATCTCGGAATCTGAGGCAGATAGCGAAATTTTCGTTAGAATTTTTTTTGTAGGTCACAATTTGTTTACAAAAAAGGTATTCACGTAAATATCGCCATCTTCCTTAGATAGCCCCCATGATTCTTCAGACTCCCACTCCAACCCTGAATTAGATAACAAAAAATCCCTTCGAATTGTCATTCTTGTACCAAAAAACATCTAAAAAATTTCAACCCCTGGACATAATTTTCACAAATCCCCTCTTCTGGCATATGACAATTTAATTTTATTGGAATTTTTAGGGGATTTTCCTGGGCTTCTGCGGATTAGGGAGGACTTGGTCATGCAGGCATGAAAAAATTCAATAGAAAACCTAATGAATTCTCTCGAAAATTCGTTTGGAATCCTATGGGAATTCTATGGAGTTTCTATAGGATTTCTATTTGAATTCCTAAAAAAAAATTCTATTTGTTTTTTGCGATGATTCTATGGGATATTCGATAAGAAACAGTCAATAGATTTCAAATTTCTGTTTGAATTTTTCTCTTGAGATTTTTTTCTATAAGCATGCTTGGACATCAATTTTCCAAGTTTTTAAAGAACTCAGAAAATTCAATAGCAAACCGGTAAACTGGTGTAAGTCGATTTTAACTATTGGTCAGTTTTCAACAAATATCTCGACATCTAGGGGAGGTGGCAAAATTTGTGGCATTACCTTTTTTATAACTCTTAATTCGCTCTACAAAAAAGGTCATTACGAATATTTCATTATCTCCCTTAGATTCAGAGATATTCATGGAAAACTTAGCTAAGGGCTGAGTCGACTTAAACCGTTTTAGCGCTTCGCTATTAAATTTGTGCCCGATAATTTCAATAGAAAAAAAACTTAACAGAAAGTCAAAATATATTGACTTTTTCCCACTGAATTCCCACAGAAATCTTATAGAATTCCAATAGAATTTTCTAGCCAATTCGCTCGGTTTCCTATTAAATTTTGTCATGCCTGTGTCTCTGAATGGATTTTATTCTCTCGATGAAAGATTAGTATTTGTTGATGCTTCCTGTTCCTACACTTTTCGTCAAACCCTCACTTTAACCCTGAAGTAAATAACAAGAAATTCACTATAAAAAATTCAATATAAAAAAACTTAACAGAAAGTCAAAATATATTGACTTTTTCCCACTGAATTCCCACAGAAATCTTATAGAATTCCAATAGAATTTTCTAGCCAATTCGCTCGGTTTCCTATTAAATTTTGTCATGCCTGTTTCTCTGAAGGGATTTTATTCTCTCGATGAAAGATAATTTTTCTCGATGCTTCCTGTTCCTACACTTTTCGTCAAACCCCCACTTGAACCCTGAACTAAATAACAAAAAATTCGCCGTGAAAATCCTCGTTCTCACGAAAAAAAAACATCCAAAAAATCTGAACCCCTAGACATAATTCCCACAATTCCCCTCCTCCTCTCCACTCTCCTCCGATCCTCTCGCCTGTCTCCTGGGCTTGGGAATGGGGTTGACCTCGAGATCCGAGAACCCTGGCGTCTGCTTAATTGGCTCGGAGATGTGGAGCTCGATGATCTTCACAGGTTCCTTCGGCCCCGCAACCTCCACCTGAGGCTCCCCCAGCCGAACAATCTTTATGTCCCTCATCTCCCTCGGCAGCTCTTTAATCTCAATTTTAATGTCGTCACTCCCATTTTTAGTCAAATCCCGGAAGAAATTTCTTCGTGTCTCCTGCAGGCTTCGTCTGCTCCCCCCTCTCTGCAGCTGTGGGAGAGGATCCTCTTCGTCTAATGAGGACGTGAATGATGTCGTTCTCGTCCTCAACTTGGACGACTCCAGGAGTTTTATCTGCTTCTCGATCTTCTCGATCTCGTCCTTCACCGAGAAACTGTCGCTCCTGTGGAGGCTCGATGAACTCTTCTTCCGGAAGACCACGTCATCGTCGTCGTCGTGAATCATCGAAACATCTTTGATGATCTCTAGGGGCTCCTCTGATGGCGTTCGTGTGAATTCAACTGCAACTCCTGTTTCGGTCTCTTCTCCTTGAGAACTGGATTCCGTTGGGGTTTCTGGGGGGTTTTCCTCGGCTTCTGGGGGTTGGGGAGGACTTGGTGGTGTCTCGGAAGGGATCTCATTCTCTTGAACGATTATTTTGGTTGTTTCGAGCTTTTCAGGCCCATCGTGGAGGTCGAACGGGCTTTCTTTGGGGTCTTCAAGCTGTTTCGTTCTCTCGGTCATCTCTGTGATGTCTTCGGCTACTCTGGCGATCTCCAGGGGGTCTGGGAGCGTCTCCTGAGGTTAATCAATTCAATTGAAAAATACTGATCGGTGAATTGTAGGGGAGGGTGGGATAAAACGGACCGCTGAGCAAAACGGACCCCCACACTGAGAGAAAAACAAACACATCAAACAAGTCTTGTTTGGGCCAACAAAATCGCTAGTTGAAAATTGCCAAAATGAATTTTTTGCTTCCATTTGGAAGCAAAAACAAAAATTACCAGTTTTCGGTCAGTGGTCCGTTTTGCCTTGCGGTCCGTTTTGCCCTGCCTGTAAACTCAAAGTTGAATGAGAATTTTTCATATATTTTTCTGGTGAAAAAACTATTGCAATTTGGTCACAATTTCATTTTTTCCTACAGAAATCAAAAAATGGTTTCTCAATTTATTTTCCAATTACTTGTTTTTTATTTTCAAAAACAATTGGGAAAGTTTCACCTTGAATTTAGGGCTAATTTGAGAATTCTGACATTTTCATGATTTCTTAAAATCCTTAATTAATTAATTTAAAATTAATTTCATTAAATTACCTTTGGACTTTCTAATGGTTCGGATTTCTTGCCAGGAGGCAACGGGGCTCTTCTCTTCTTCCTCCCAGAGGCATAGACACTTCCCACAGACATGCAACTGTTGATGGACAAGTTGGATTTTCTCACAGCATCGTTGCTACACCTCTTGAAGACGAAATCCTCCTGCATGTTCTCGTTTTCGTCTCTGTAGTTTCCGTTTCTCATCTGAACTTTGTCGTCATCGGGGTCCTGGGGGAGGGCTAATCTCTGAGATGCTCTAAAACCTCCTCTCCTAGAAGTTCATTGAAGAATTTTTATTTGAAATGAAACGAGGCATAATTGAATATTACCCAAACTTTGAAAGGTCAGAAAGGGTTTGACCCTTTCTGATCCTTAATCTTAGATTTTTTAAGGGGAGACATAAATATTCATTCTCATACATTGAAGATCGATTATATATGCCTAAAAATGAATAATTAGTGCAAAAAAATTAATTGTTTATTGTTAGTTTGCTCCACAGACGCTTAAAATGTTAAAAATAGTCCAGGGCGAATTTCGTTTATTTTTTAATAAAAAATAGCACCATTCATATAAAATAGCCTGAAAAAAATTGCTGAAAGAAACGAGAATATATTTCAAAAATTTTGAGGATAATTTTTCTGCCTATTTTACATGAATGGCGCCAGTTTTTATATTAAACAAAATGAAATTAGCTGTGTAGGAGTTGAATTTCAAAAAACTAATTCGTAATTGTTATTGCACAAATTTTTTCAAAAATGTTGAAAAAAAAACCTCTGTAGCTTGAAAATTGCAGGCCCTGGACTATTATCAACATTTCAAGCGTCTGCGGGGCAAACGAGCAATAAACAATCAATTTTTTAGCTCTAATTATTCGTCTTTAGACATATATAATCGATCTTCAATGCATGAGAAATCCCACACCAATATTCCGCGACTTTTAAAACTCGTCGTAGTCTTCCTTTAAGGGTCCTTTGACCCTCAAAACGATTTTAAGTCTATTTAACCCTCAACTCCTAATGTTCTCAAGGGTCATTTGACCTTTGAAACTATTTGACCCTCAAGTCTTGGCGTCCTTAAGGGTCACTTGACCCTCAATTTGACCCTAAACTAAAATTGAAAAAAAATCCGAATTGTGCACAATTGAAACCATAATATAATAATTATCTTACTTCGGTGGAATAGGCGTGCCATCATCCTCTCTATCGTCACTCTTATGACCATAATCCAAGGGAGGTATTTTATCAGTTGGCTTCGGACTCACTTGACCAAACCTTCATAAACGAAAGTATAAAAACGAGTTTATTCGACATTCACAAGGAAGATCTTTCACACTTGAAGGCGCAGAGACTGTTTATCACTGGCAGCAGGGTTGGGCATCTGTCGATAACCGCAGTTTTTTACATGACATTGTAAAAAACTCGTAATTTACGCAATAAATGTAAAAAATGTAAAAAAAACCAGCCGACATTACTTTTTATCGTAAATCGTGAAGCTTCGCGAAGATTATACAGTAGAGGCTTCGTATAAGATACCTTAGGGACAGTAGGAGAGTGGAATTCCGGGAACCCCTATGCCCCCACTACGCGCCCCCATCGAGGAGAAAAATAGGGATCAGCGGGTTTCAAATAAGATACCTCGCTCGTTGCGCCTGAATTCAATGAAATTTTCACAGCCACCGCCGTCGGTACTCTTTATGAGGTATGAGGCTCATGTTTTTGAGCTTCTTAAAATGCCGTAAATCGTACCACGTGATGTAATAGTGCATTATGTCACTAGGCGATGAAAGTATTTTCTGATGAATGCGGCTTTATCATCCGAGCCGAAGAGGCGAGAATTTTAGTCACATGAGTCAGAAAATAGTTTTATCGCCGTGTGACATGCGATATTTTTTGTCTCTGGGACCGGAAACCGCGATTTAACCGAGGAAATCGATGTTAGAATCGCGGTTTTACGGTCCTAGAGACATAAAATATTATTTTATGCCCCGAGTACTGAGATCGGCATTCCAACCGAACAAAGTGAAGTTAAAATTTGTGGTTTAACCGACGTCGGTGGCCGAGTGGATTAGACGCAAGTCTAGTGTGCGAAAAGTTGTGAATTCGATTCCCCGTGGAACCGAATTTTTCAACGGAAGGCTCCCGCGAGCGGGGGAGTCACCTCTAAATAACACGGTACAAAATAACACTGTACAAAAATAACACAGTACAATAACATCATAAGTCAAAGTCAACACAGAAATTATATTGTGGTCTTTTTGGGATCCGATGCCACGTCCTCGTCGTGGGTCCTGGGTAACGCCAAGAGCTGGTAAGGCGTTATTTGAAATAATAATAATTCTTTTCAGTAAAATATAATGATAGTTTTTAATAATATTTGCCGTTAGAAGGACGGTGGCGATATATATATAATATGTATACATACATATATATATATACATACCTGTAATAATAAGAATAATGATAATAATAATAATAGAATGTAATAATTATAAAACTGAAAAATCAATCATTTGAAATAATAATAATTATTTTCAGTAAAATATAATGATAGTAATTGCCTTGCCATGCTCGTGAATTTATTGAAGTAATTATATTTAAATTAATTTTAAAAATTAATTGCCTTTAGAAGGAAGGTGGAGAAAAAAGGAGGTCCCGGACATCTACCTGATCAACCATATTATTATGTTGTGTTGAACCAAAGAGTTTAAATTCACAAACTGGCAACCTAGTCCCAACTTGGTAAGAAAGGTGGAGATCCATTGGAAACTGGAGGCCCTGTGTTGATTTGTCATGTGATATATTGTTGGTGTGTTGAATTGTCGTGTTATTTTGACGTGTAACCGCGAATGCGGTACAGTGTAGAATCCACAGCCGCATGCATAGGGTTGAATAGAGTGCCGAATGGGACCCGAAAGGGACTCCGAGGCAATAAAAAAAAATTGTGGTTCATCTGTCCTTGGGACATGATGTACTTTTTTTATGATATTTATGCGTCCAATACTGTGCCTTCGTCAATCGGATTAAAATAAAACAGTCGCGTAACCGAAAATTGCAAACTTTTCGAAGAAATGTACATTGAGAAAAATTTCAATGGTAATTTTACTACAAGGGAATTGTCAAAGAAATTATATTTACAGTAACAATAAACTTTGTAGATTAAACTATGATTCATCGTTCGATTTACTATGTCAAATAGTGTTATCAACATTATGATTTAATTTTCACTTTAATGTAATAGTTGAATCTGCAATGTTTATTGTTACCGTAACTATTATTTTTTTGACAATTCCCTTGTAGTTGAAATTACCATTGAAATTCCTCTCAGTGTACTCTCTTCCCGTTGAAAAATGACCGGGGCCATAGGTATCTTATAAGAAGCCCACGGAACATGAACATTCGGGACGCGATAAAAGTGCCGAGAGTGGGGGTAGCCCTCGAGCACTCGGAGCGCGAGGTATCTTATAGAGAAGTATCTTACACGAAGCCTCTACCGTACGTGTCACACGGCCCGTAGCGTCGGTTTGCGATTCGTGTGAGTTTGCAGCACTCGGCGTAGTGTAACTTCGCACTCATCGCAAACCGCCGCTTAACGGGTCTTGTGACACAAATTACTATTATCGTATTTTTCTCTGCACCCAATAATTTCCGAGATATCTATCAATTAATCTGGACAAAAATTTTGATTCCAATTTTTCCTAAACGACAGTATGTTTAACTACTCAATTTATCGCATCAGTTATCAATCCCAGCTAAAAATGTTATAAGACATTTTTTGTAGAAAATTTAAAAACCTACAAAAAATGTCTTATGATATTTTTCTTTAAACCCAATAATTTTCGAAATATTTGTCAATGAATCTGTTTAAACGTAAAATCGTTGAAATTTCTCTCAGTGTAAAAATATAAAAAATCCGTCGAGGTAATTTACGTAAATTACGTTGGTAAATAACGCCGTTTTTTACACGCCCAACCCTGACTGGCAGTGTGAAGGAGCCGGGTTTATTACACAGTTTATTACTCATTGCTGACCTTCGAGCGGGTGGTTTGGGAGTGAGATCACCCATGATGGAGACGGTAGTGTCCTGGGGGCTTCCGTCGTAAATCCTCCCAGGATCGCCGTTTATCGTCAAATTCGAACTGTATCGGGAGGAATTGTCCAGCGTATGTTTTCGCCTTCTGGCGAGGGTGCCCAGGGCCTCGTTGAACTCTTGCTGATCTCGGGAGGGCCGAGGGGGTGGGACTGGGTGGCCGTTGTAGCTGGCACGTTGATAAGTCGATGACACTGGGGAATAACGATTCATTTCGCTGAATTAGTTTATAAGTCATTTCGTGAATTTAACGATGATCACTTTTTAAGGGGACACGGGTGACACGCCAAAATTCCCCCGTTAAAATTCCCCGCCCCATATTTCCCTGGTCGAAATTCCCCCCGTCATTTTTCTTCCCGACATAATTCATTCATGTTAATATTCCTTGCGCCAATTCTCCTAACCCAATAATTCCTGCCGATAAAATTCCCCTATGGCGTATTTATGCGGTTTTTCTGAAATTATATATTTGGTTCGTGAAAATCTTTATTCAAATTTTAATAACAGGCAACATGAATTTTATGAAATTGATGAGTTCTTCGTGAATATACGGGGCAAAATCGATCGGGTCCGCGATTTTCCCTAGTTATTCCCATATTCCGTCATATATCACAAACTGTTCAATCGGTCCCACCGCAGAGTGAAGACTTAAATTTCTCGGACGTATCCCCTTAAACGGATTTTTGAAGGTGTCACAAGGGCCAAAAGGGCCAAATGACACAATTATATTCAATTGCATCCCATTTTGCCCCCAGATTATTTTTTAAAAAATTTAGTGAATATTCAAACCTGTTGATATCGTCGGACTTCTCTCGCACGACTCCTTCTTCTTCCCAAAGATTCCATTCCTGCAAATAAGATGAATTCGTTTTTTTAATTCCCATTTTTTTTTCTCTCCTCCACTCTTTTTCTCATCAGCCTCTCCACATCTGGGTCGATTGGGTCGACAGATGCAATCTGTGACACCGACTGCATGCAGACGATTTGCGTCACTAATCTCAATGTTTAGATGACTTGGTCAACAATTGTTGTAAAAAACACTGGCGTTCCCATTTGATGCACCGATCATTTGAGAATGGCATAATCGATCGAATTAGATGGTCTACTGCAACATGCGACTTCCTCTCAGTCAGTTTTAATAATACTTTGTATGAGGAAGACCTTGGAATGATGGAATAATTTACGTTGCTGGATGGAAAGGTTCGAGGGATTCATTGGGAGATGAAAATTCTATAATTTTTTGGTAAACATTTTAGATATTTTTTTTTCTCCATTCTTTGCATCATTGAAGAGTCTTCGACTGAATTAGATGGAGTGCTTGTTGGGTTTGGACCGTTGCCAGTCGATACCAAGTTCATTATCAAGTTCAATAGAGCTATTGAGTAAATCATTCAGTAGCGAAGAGGTAAACCGGTTTTAGTCGATTTAGACTATTGGTTAGTTTTTAATGAATATCGCGGAACCTAGGGGAGATAGCAAATTTTTAATTATAACCTTTTTTGTAGAGCGAATTGAGAGCTACGAAAAAGTCATTATATAAATTTCGCTATTTCCCTTAGATTCGGAGATATGCCTCGAAAACTCAGCGAAGAGCTAAGTCGACTTGAACCGGTTTATTACCGCTCCGCTACTGAATTTCGTTTTGGAATTGTCAAATGTCGGAAATGATCTAAATTTTCAAGTTATTTATTATATTAATTCATTGAAAAAATATATATTCATTGAAAATTTCCTGATTTCTACTAATTTTCAGGGAATAATTGAACTAAAATTGACAGTTCAGTAGCAAAGAGGCAAACCGGTTCAAGTCGATTTAGACTATTGGCCAATTTTTAATAAATATCTCGGAACCTAGGGGAGATAGCAAATTTTTAATAATAACCTTTTTTGTAGAGCGAATTGAGAGCTACGAAAAAGTCATCATATAAATTTCGCTATTTCCCTTAGATTCGGAGATATTTCTCGAAGACCCAGCGAAGAGCAAAGTCAACTTAGACCGGTTTTATCGCTCCGCTACTGAATTTCGTTTTGGAATTGTCAAATGTCTGAAATGACCCAAATTTTCAAGTTATTTATTATATTAATTAATTGAAAAAATATATATTCATTGAAAATTTCCTGATTTCTACTAATTTTCAGGGAATAATTGAACTAAAATTGACAGTTCAGTAGCGAAGTGGTCAAACGGTTTGTCGACTTTGGCTATTGGCCACTTTTCAATGAATATCTCGAAATCTAAGGGAAATAGCACAATTTTTCTCATAACCTTTTTAGTAGCACTTAATTCGCTCTACAAAAAAAGTTATTATGGAAATTTCGCTATCTCCCTTAAATTCGGAAATACTTTTGGAAAACTCAACTAAAGACCAGTTCCAAAAAATTTTGAATTTTCAATAAGGAAATTTCTTGACATTCCTTGGAATGTCAGTAGAACTAAAATATGATAAAATTTCCCCTCTTCCATCCACATTTCACAATTTCCCTTGTCTTTTTTGGAATTTTGAGATTCCAAAAAATCTCAAAATTTGGAGAAACTGGGAGACCGTTTCTTCTTGTTCCTCTCGAAGGTCCAGAATTTCTTGATTTTACAAATTTTCAGAGAATAATTGAACTAAAATTGACGGTTGTCATTGATTTTGCCAAAAAATTCTGAATTTTCAATAACAAAATTCCTTGGAATGTCAGTGGAACTAAAATATGATAAAATTTTCCCTCTACCGTCCACATTTCACAATTCCCCTTCCAAAAAATCTGAAAATTTGGAAAAACTGGGAGACCGTTTCTTCTTGTTCCTCTCGAAGGTCCAGAATTTTTTGATTTTACTAATTTTCAGAGAATAATTGAAATCAAATTGACGGTTGTCATTGATTTTCCCAAAAAAATTCTGAATCTTTAATTACAAAATTCCTTGGAATGTCAGTGGAACTAAAATATGATAAAACTTCCCCTCTTCCATCCACATTTCACAATTCCCCTTCCAAAAAATCTAAAAATTTCTCACCACGTGGACTTGATGGAGAAACTGTGAGACCGTTTCTTCTTGTTCCTCCCGAAGGTCCAGAATTTCTTCTTGTCCTCCCTCTCCCTGGAGCCGTTCACCGGCAATTTGTTACTCACTTCCTCGTTATCATCTTTGAATGGATTGAGGTCCTCCGGATAATCGTAGATAGTGATGCTCGGTCGTCTCGACATGACTCGAGAAAACTCCCTCGACTTGACAGATGCAAATGGGTATCACGTTCACTCGCGATTACGTCTCATTTCGTTTCTCCCCTCTCCTCCTCATCTCACTGGACTGGTACATATGTCACAAACGGAGTTGATAAGAATATTATCCACTTTTTTCATCATGCAAATTATTTTCTATTGATAATACATAATTTTTCAAAAACACAATCATAGAAAAGTCCGGAAAAAAATGCGTTCATTTTTTTCAGATTTTTCTTCTCATTTTCTGATGAATAATTGAAATTTCATTATTGAAAGAAATAATTTCAAGTTATTAAATGACGCATTAATTATTAATGGGTCAGTTAAATTCAATTGATTACGTCGACTAGTCTTTTACAATTAATTTGATGAATTTAAAAAATCAATTTGGTTTTATTTCGCTTTTTTTAATCGTCCATTTGACTTTTGCAGAGAGTTTTTTATTCAATTTTTAGACATTGACGTTCTTGTTTGGAAGAAAAGTGAGGCTAAGGTAAATTAAAATGGTAACAATTTCGTAATATACCTCCTAACAGGCTTAATTAACTAGACCCCATGTGTATCCATCAGCCTCAAGCGTTTTCACGTGCCATAAAGCACCGAATGACAGCTATCATCGACCGATTGATTTGTGAGAATAAAGAGGATAAAACAAATGATCAGTAGGAAGTTTAATGGCGTACGAAATTGAGGGAATTATGCCAACGCCCTGAACGCGCTGAACATCTGCAATTCAAATGAATACATTCTCGTTTTTTATTGTCTTGGAGTTTGAATGCCGACGCGAATACGATATGTATTGGGTTGCGATGGGCTGACGAAGAGTTTTCTACTTGGGATTATTTTTAAGAAGAAAAATACTGGACTTGAGGAGAATTTTGGAATTCAAATTTTCGTTGAGATTAGTTAATGAGACAGACCAACTTTTGCTGATAAACGGTCCAACGATTTTACGTTTAAACAGATTCATTGACAAATATTTCGAAAATTATTGGGTTTAAAGAAAAATATCATAAGACATTTTTTGTAGGTTTTTAAATTTTCTACAAAAAATGTCTTATAACATTTTTAGCTGGGATTGATAACTGATGCGATAAATTGAGTAGGTAAAAATACTGTCGTTTAGGAAAAATTGGAATCAAAATTTTTGTCCAGTTTAATTGATAGATATCTCGGAAATTATTGGGTTCAGAGAAAAATACGATAATAGTAATTTGTGTCACAAGGCCCGTTAAGCGGCGGTTTGCGATGAGTGCGAAGTTACACTACGCCGAGTGCTGCAAACTCACACGAATCGCAAACCGACGCTACGGGCCGTGTGACACGTACGGTAGAGGCTTCGTATAAGATACTTCTCTATAAGATACCTCGCGCTCCGAGTGCTCGAGGGCTACCCCCACTCTCGGCACTTTTATCGCGTCCCGAATGTTTATGTTCCGTGGGCTTCTTATAAGATACCTATGGCCCCGGTCATTTTTCAACGGGAAGAGACTACACTGAGAGGAATTTCAATGGTAATTTCAACTACAAGTGAATTGTCAAAAAAATAATAGTTACGGTAACAATAAACATTGCAGATTCAACTATTACATTAAAGTGAAAATTACATCATAATGCTGATGACACTATTTGACATAATAAATCGAACGATGAATCCTAGTTTAATCTACAAAGTTTTTGTTACTGTGAATATAATTTCTTTGACAATTCCCTTGTAGTTAAAATTACCATGGAAATTTTTCTCAGTGTAGTTATAAGGATCAAACGGTGTTAAGGGTCAAACGGGAGGGACGAACGAAGTGATCATGAGGGTCTAATGACCTTAAGGGGGGTCACACCACTTTTTTCAAGTAATGCAAATATACATCGATTTTTCTTCACTTTTCCCATCGAAAAATCGTAATTTTTCGTCTGTGATTCTTCTCGAGTCCACCAACAATCCCCCAACATCAGCTGCCATTAATGGGCGCATTTCGCAATCGACGTAGTAGCAGTAGCAGTACTGCAACCCTATCTAATTTTGCTTTACTGCAGCTACGGTAGTTGATTCCGAAACGCACCCATTCTACCACGCGGGGTTATGTTTAGAGAGAAAGGGGAACGCGGGCGATACAAATTCAAAACATTAAACATATGAATTGATTTGTTATCGATATTCATTCACTAAAAATGAACATTTCATTGAATTCAGACGCAACGAGCGAGGTATCTTATTTGAAACCCGCTGATCCCTATTTTTCTCCTCTCTATGGGCGCGCGTAGTGTGGAATGTGGAATGGGGGTTCCCGGAATTCCACTCTCGTCTGTCCCTAAGGTATCTTATACGAAGCCTCTACTATACTATTTTTTATCATGAATGCCCGTCGAGAGTCTTGGTGGGGG